TTTTTCTTCACAGGTGTCCGTGGGTATGGGGGACCAATGCAGCCAGGAGTGTTCCATGGATACCCCCTCAAATCACCCAAAGTGCAAGGTGTGACATGAAATTATTCAGTGTTTGCATTAATTCTTCTACAAGCATGTGGCGTAATATTAATTTTGTGGTTTAAACCCTGCTGATGTTAAATAACTTTAACATCAGCAGGATTATTATTATCATTTTGCAGACTGCAGTCTTACTTATCTTTTACATAACTGTACTCTAAGATTTTCTGTGGCAGGTTTAGCACTGTGTTATTCTAATGAGAGAAGAGTGTATTTGGGGTCTCACACAGATTGCTTTTGTTTTGTTCGTCTTTCTGAAACCGAACCTTTGTGTTCGGGAGCTCGAAAAAGTTGTTTCTGTTCATCTGGACGTAGCGTTTTCAGTTTGAGAAAGGCACTGGATGAGTGAAGAAACGTTTTTCCCACTGAAAACATACGATCAGGAGAAACAGAATCAACCTTTTGGGTTGATTGTGTTCTCCTGAACGTAGCGTTTGCATATGATGATGTGCGCACATATAAAATAATTCCAGCCTCTTTTTTTTCACTCTTTCTCTCTTTAGGTGCCTATGGAGCAAAAACTGCAGGTGGAAAACTTCCATATGGTAAAAATACATTTATTTTTTAACATCTTTGAAGTTTGGTTTCAGTGGAAATTCACCATTTAGTGATCGGCCTCGTATCCATGCATCAGGTTATGGCGGCTTTAATGTTGCACCTGGACTGCCAGGAGTGCAAGGTGGCCCCGGGTCGAAGCCAGGATATCCTGTTGGAACTGGTAAAAGTTTTCACAATTTGTTTCCCTACGAGATGTGGAGTAGAGATATAGAATTCACTTTTTTCCTTTTTTTGCAGGAGTGGGAGTCATTTCACCTGGTCAGGGTAAAGCTGTTCAGTGTAGTAGTTTACCATACTGATTGAAGTTAATGCTTCCTGTAAAATCAGTATGTCTGCATGTAACTGAACTTTCTGCATTCTGCTTCATGTTTAGGTGGTACTGGAGGCTTTGGAGCTGGTGGTGGTGGCTTTGGTGGCACTGGTGGGCTGTATCCAGGCCAGGTGTTAGGAGGTACGATATCTAGCACTTGGCAAGAAAGCAAATGCACACCAGCACACATGCAGACAAAAGTCACACAGCAGTCAAATGAACTGTAAGATGATGGGAAAAGTAAAGATTTATTTGCAGGCCAATGCCCTGAAATTGAAAAAATAATATTTGTGGGTTAGCTCCATATGATCATCTTTAACACTTTCATGCATGAATTGTGACAACCTCAATCAGGGTTTTCTCTTAAATATTTGTATTCATCTTTAGGCATGAAAAAAGATTTTTGAACTTAATTTTTTAAAAACATGTACTTTTCAAAGAGTTTGTTACATGTCGACTTAGGTGGACAACAGACATTTTGACTTATGAATTTGACACACGAATAAATAATACACACTGTGTAAAAACTATAAAAAGACATATTTTTTATAAAAAGATGAAAATAACAACAGATATATATATATATATATATAAACTATAACAAATATAATATGGACTGAGACATAAGTGTCCAATGTGCAAGTGTACCATCAACACTGACACAAATACAAGAAAACAGCCTTTGAATAGCTGTCCACTATAGTGACCACTATGCATGAAAGGGTTAACTAACTAGCACAAATATTTCACACCATACCTTACACCTTGTTTTATTTTGTGCTTTTAAAAAAAAAAAATGTTCTTCAGTTACTAAACTTTTATCATATGACTCACTATCGTTATGTTGACGACAGGGTATGGAGCTGCTAAGGCTGCCAAATATGGTGAGAATGTTTATTTTTTTTCCTTATCTGGAAAAAAAATACTTTTAATCATTTTTCATACTTTTTTCATGCATTTCTTCAGTAGAGTGAGAAAAATATAACTTAACTAATATAAAATTATGTTACATTACATGGAAAAATTATTTACATGGACAAATTACACATATGCTTTTGTCAGGAGTTCCAGGAGGTGTACCTGGGGGAGTACCAGGAGGTGTACCTGGGGGAGTACCAGGAGGTGTTCCTGGGTTAGTACCAGGAGGTGTACCTGGGGGAGTACCAGGAGGTGTTCCTGGGTTAGTACCAGGAGGTGCACCGATTGGAAGAATTCCAGCGGTTGGTGGATATTTACCAGCAGCAAAAGCTGCTAAGTATGGTATGCTTTATTATTTGTGGAACTGTTACAAAGAAAACTAACTAACTAACTAATGACATTTTCAGTGGAATAACAGAAAAATTCTTCAAAAATATTTCTGTCTCACTGACTTCTAAGACCATGATTTTCAATCTACATTTATCACCAAATTGAAGGAAAAAATGATGGCAAAATATTTGTGGGGTGGGATCTGGCTCAAGTAGAGCTCAAGTAGAGCTAGATCAATGGAAAAATAGAAATAAGGGGACAAGCACAAATAGGAGAACACTATCCTTTTAGCAAAGCTGAAAGCTGCTAAATGTCGTATGCTTTATTAATTGAATTTTACTATTTATTTTGTGAACTTTTTAAACATTATATCAAACTGTAACCTGTAAATGTACTTCTTTTTTTTAAAAGTGCATAATTGTTTTCCTATTTAAATTAGGAACGGGAGGACAAATAGGCACAGGAGGGCAAATAGGCACAGGAGGGCAACTAGGAACAGGACAACTAGGAACAGGACAACTAGGAACAGGGCAACTTGGAACAGGAGGGCAACTAGGCACAGGAGGAGGATATTATCCTGCAAGCAAAGCTGCCAAATACGGTATTATTAATAATTGTTTTAATTTGTATTGTGACTTTCCGACATCATGCCAAATTTGTAACTTCTAAAGGCACTTATATTTTGTCTTTTTTTTTCTTCATTTTTTTCAATTTAACTGCATGTGGGACAGGGGGACAACTAGGAACGGGACAACTAGGAACGGGACAACTAGGAACGGGACAACTAGGAACGGGACAACTAGGAACAGGGCAACTAGGAACAGGGCAACTAGGAACAGGGCAACTAGGAACTGGAGGAGGATATTATCCTGCAAGCAAAGCTGCTAAATACGGTATTATTAATAATTGTGTTAATTTTTATTGTTAATTTTTTAACATCATATCAAAAATTTAACTTCTAAAGGTATTAAAAATGTGTTGTTGTTGTTTTTTTCAATTTAACTGCATGTGGGACAGGAGGGCAACTAGGAACGGGACAACTAGGAACGGGACAACTAGGAACGGGACAACTAGGAACGGGACAACTAGGAACGGGACAACTAGGAACGGGGCAACTAGGAACGGGGCAACTAGGAACGGGGCAACTAGGAACAGGACAACTAGGAACAGGACAACTAGGAACAGGACAACTAGGAACTGGAGGAGGATATTATCCTGCAAGCAAAGCTGCTAAATACGGTATTATTAATAATTGTGTTCATTTTTATTGTGAATTTTTTAACATCATATCAAAAATTTAACTTCTAAAGGTATTAAAAATGTGTCTTTTTTTCAATTTAACTGCATGTGGGACAGGAGGGCAACTAGGAACAGGAGGGCAACTAGGAACAGGAGGGCAACTAGGAACAGGGCAACTAGGAACAGGACAACTAGGAACAGGGGGAGGATATTATCCTGCAAGCAAAGCTGCCAAATACGGTATTCTTAATAATTGTTTTAATTTTTATTGTTAATTTTTTAACATCATGCCAAAGCTGTAACTTCTAAAGGTATTAAAAATGTGTCTTTTTTCAATTTAACTGCATGTGGGACAGGGGGACAACTTGGAACAGGAGGGCAACTTGGAACAGGGGGACAACTTGGAACAGGAGGGCAACTTGGAACAGGAGGGCAACTTGGAACAGGAGGGCAACTTGGAACAGGAGGGCAACTTGGAACAGGAGGGCAACTTGGAATAGGAGGAGCATATTATGCTGCAAGCAAAGCTGCCAAATACGGTATGCTCTTAACTGTATTATTGTCTGCATGTTTTTAGCCCATCGGGTCGAAGGATTCCCATCAAGTTCTAGCAACAATGATTTTGCCGTTTCATGCACAGTTTTCTAGTGTCACAAGAATCACTGGTCCTCCTAGAGTATTGGTCAACGAAACAAATTTGAATTGACTGTTTCTGAGCCTCCATACTTCTCACTGGATTTTAATTATCTTTGGTTTGTGCAGTATAGCCAACCAATGATAACAAAACTGACATCTTGGTTTAACATTATCTCAAGCGGTATTCTAAAAAAAGCTACTCATGTCTTCAAAAGTAAATATTTTGTCTCTATTTAACCCCTCAGGCAACAACTCCATCAAATATTGCCAATATAACTTCAATCTGAACAAAAAGGCAAATAAGAAAGCAAATAACAGCTATAAAATAACGAGTGACTGACAGAGATGTTACTGAACCATCTTTAAAAGTTCTCAAATACAACTCAGAAAATTCATGATTTACGATATTAAGTGAAGGAGTAGCAAGACTGAGAAAAAAATGTTAGTGACCAAGAGGCTGCAGTTGGAGGGAATTTACCATTTAAGCCACTATAAAAGTATTTTCCAGCTTCTGATGGCTGTTTGGAAGCCTCAGACTCCACCACAGTCTGTTCCAAGTGATACATTTGGATTTGGGTTTTTTTTAAAACCTATTTGAAACTGAGACTTTTTAAAGATTTCTTTAATTAATAATTAATTTTATAATTTTTAACTTTAATCTTTAACAATACAGTTTTATTCCACAACAAAAACAAGTATTAGTAAGACTCTTTTCCGCTGGGAAGTGACATGGCGGTCCTGCCATTTCCTTCGGATCTTTTCCTCTCTCCGGTCACGTTTGACCTCATCTAGCATCTGCTCCTCTTCCTGGAAAAAAGACAGACAGCATATTATGCTGCAAGCAATTTGTCGTGGAAGTTTCCATTTAATAAAGCCTGCAGAGAAACGGTGAGCGGTGGCTGACAACCTTTAATCAAAAAAGAACAGGCTTGGTGAGAGAAGCCATCCTTGCTGACGGTTGGCAGAGTCTCTCCCTGAAGCCAGCAGGGCCCTGAGTTTAAATACCATCATATCATTTAAATAAATGGAAAAAAAGAAAAACAATTCCAGACCAAATAATTATATTTTTCCTTAAAGGTCAAGGTGGTGGAGGGTTTATTCCAGGTGTTCGTGGAGGTGGTGGTGGATTTTTACCAGGATATGGATGTAAGCTTGCCACGTGGACATAATATTTTTAGATATTTCAAGGATTCAATTATATTTTTCAATCTTATTCACTTTGTCCTGATATCTTACCTTTTGTCCTTACTTTGGTGCAGCTTTGGCAGCCAAACCTCCTAAATATGGTGAGACTTTGATATTTACAGTTTGGTACCTCATAATATTTGCCAAACGTATTCCACCTATACAAGTCTATCAACATATTAATACATAAATCCAGTGATACAGTTTTAAAGGTTGTGCCTTTAATGCAATATTGGATTTATTTTGGTCTGTTAAAGCTGTGCTGACACATTTTATAGGAGTGCCAGGAGCAGGCCTAGGAGGAGGGGTTGTCCCAGGGGGAGGAGGGGTTGTCCCAGGAGGAGGAGGGGTTGTCCCAGGAGGAGGAGGGGTTGTCCCAGGGGGAGCAGGACAGGTAGTCCCTGGTGGTGGATTGGGTGGTAAGTCGCTAAAGGTTTGTTTGTTTGTTTTTAAAGAACTTCTTCTCTGTCGTTTGTGATAATTCAGATGCAAACTTTGTTTGGTTTCTTACAGGTTTTGGAGGTGGTGCTGGAGTCAAACCACCAAAGTATGGTAAGGCTTTTGTTTTGATTACACTCTAATATGATGAAAATGACACCAATGCAATATGGAGAGAAATACTAAACTGTATTAGCAGCAGTATGTGGCTCACACTCCCCTGCTGCAAAAACTTCTAAATAAGGAAGCAGAAATAAGTATAAAACTGCATAAATCCTGCACGTTGAGAAATATTTCCTCGGCCATGAATGTATTCTTACTCATTAATCTAACTTCACTTTAGATTTTAATACTTGTGAACTAATTGTACCACCTGCACTAATGTAGGAGTTCCTGGAGGAGTCGGAACAGGGCTAGGACCTGGAGGAGTTCCTATTGGAGGATCAGGAGTTGCAGGTGGACCGTACTCCCCCGCCGCAAAAGCTGCTAAATACGGTAAGGTGAAACGACCACACAAGCATATAAGTGCTGCAAAATATTAGACACATTTCCTTGATGATTCTGAGAGAAAGAGTACAGTTTTCTGTCACTTAAGGAATTTTTCACTTAATCGTTTCTATAAATTTTTATATTGTCTTAGTTGCAAATTAATGATGCAGCTGGTTCTGGTTCTTTTAATTAGGAGTTGGAACTGGAGGTCTACCTGGAGGTACTGCATGAAAACACCAAATAGCCATTGAATGTGATTATAGAATTCAAGTAACATCAAACAATGTCATGATATGAGTATTAATGACAATGTGTTTTTACACAGGAGTTCCAGTTGGAGCAAAAGCACCAAAATACGGTAAGGAGAACCTCAAAACTAATATAAAAAGCTACATTGTTTTATAATAAAGATGCAAAGATGCAGAAGTTGGTTAAAAGATAAAATACCGAATCACAGCCAATTACAGTCAACTGGAGTAAAGCTTTATCCACCAATGACATCAGGTATCAGGGTCCATGTCATGATGGGAAACAAGTTAGGGTTCTGGCAAATTATAGACGGAATTTGGATGAATTTAAAATGTTGTATCATTGCAGTAGTTCCAGGAGTGACTCCATACACACCTGTCAGTTTTCCAAATGGCTCTGTTGTACCTGGTCAATTAGTTCCTGGAAAACCAGGTAAAGCTTAGAGTACAGCTTCTTGTTTGTTTGTTTGTTTGTTTGCACCTTTTCATAGTTGTAAATTTTAAATGATCTATTATTGCTTCCACAGCAAAGGATGTCAGTGGAACTCCTCGGCCAGGTATGGTGAAATGTCCCAGCTGATTACATACTGTATGAAAGGAGGATTTGTCTGCCACAGTTAGAGTATTTCTATAATACAGCAAATGTAAAAAGTTAACAGCAAACTGAAGGGACTTGTGGATTTTCATTTTTAAGCCTCAGAAGCTTATTGGGAGCTTCAGCACACTGCTTGCATGACTTTAGCAATAAAACACACACACGGCTCACCTGCCACGCCATTTTTTTCTTGTTTTTGACAGTTGCTCTCTACTTAGTGGTAAACGTATTTGCCCCTTCACTCCTTTTCTGCCCACACAATTTCCCAGTTTTAATAATATTGCTACAAGCCGTTGACCACCTGCAGCTTTGCAGCCTCCAAGCTGTGGCAGTGCTTTGGTCCACTTCACAGCTTCTGCCTTTTCTCGTGCCCGTGGAATTCACGCTGGATCAAACTGGTACTTGTCATCTTTTTGGCAGAGCCCACTGATATTGCCACAACTGGCAAGACCCCAGAGGTCCCAGATCCCAGTAAGGCTCGGTTTGCTTGAAGTCTTTGACCATAAATTAAAATATAAGGCATTTATTTGATGTTTGCAGTTGTAGTTGAGTTTTGATCTAATATATATATTTATCTATTCAGTATTCGAGAATGTGATTTTTTTTTAACTTCATTTCATCACTGCATTCAAAAACATCATTTTTAATTGGAGTCGTTGAGATGATTTGGACCCTTTTTGCTTCTGTCTTGATAATTACTATTTATTTAAATCAAATTATTACATCAAGAAATTATGCCTTATGAGAGTATTTATAATTTATACAAAGCTAAATTAAATTTTCCAAGATCTAGAGAGTTCACTTTCTCAAATACTGTTTGGAAATACTATAGAAATGTCTCATGAGCATGCATTAGCTGTAGTAAGTAGCACTCCACTTCTTTTTGGGACTGTAAAGAATGGGAACCAATTACCTTTTTTACAGTATTATATATATACTCTGCTAAAGGGAAGCAGCATTATGTACTCTGTCAAATACGTGAGAGAGCTGTCTCACATATAGTGCCTGGACACTGTGCTTCACAAAGTCCTGAAAGAAAAGTCGTTTTAAAGCAGACCTATCATGCTTGCTTCAAGCTCCAGAGTTTTATTCTTGGACTATATAGAGTAGTTTTGAATCATAGCTCAAAATTATTCTTTGTTACCTTAGTTAAGCATTAGTGCACCTCAGTTTTAGCTATTCTTCCTTTGAGCCGACCTTCTTCTGATTGGCTGCCCCTCACTAAAAGAAGACTTCAGCAGCAGGTGGGTGGAGCTTCTATGCAGACAGCCAGAGCTGCGTGTCTGATATGATGTCCCTCTTTGACATCATACAGATCCAAGAGTAGGAAAACTGTCTGAAACTGAGTATCTAGAGCACAATGAAGGCTTTTGGTTTAGGCTTATTCAGTTTTATAGGGATTAAGAGTTTATGTTTAATATATCCAACAGTATTCACATCACCAAAATAAATAAGTGAACTCATAAAAATAAAAAGAACGGCAGCATAATAGGTCCACTTTAACCTGTCTTGCCTCTTCAACTTCCTGTTAGTGTTGCATAATTTGGGGCTGCTTTTTTTTCTCTTTCTCTAGCACTCAACTTGTGCACTCCTTTACTTTTTACCTCGTAGCTTGCTGTGCTTGATGCATTGCTTTCATTATAGCGTCATAACTGCAATTTGTGTACTATTCACTGCATTAGTCCTTTAGAGGGAACGGGTAGATTAATGGGTAGCGATCTTTTCTGTTTTAATTCCTCATATTCTCCACAGAGGTTTGTTTAGGAACATGACTACTTGTGCACATAGTTTGACAGACAGTTTTTTGTGATATTTACACAGTTTAAGTTTGTAAAATCACTGCACTTAAAGTCCTTTATTATTAAATAAACACTGAATAAACTGAAAAGCAGCTACTTTACACTTTTTATTAGATTAGTTGTTTCGTAGTTGCATGAAATCCTAGAAGATTGTCTTTTATTTATTTCCTTGCATTCCCAAATCCAATTAATGGAAACCATTGATTTTGTTGATATTAGTTGGGCTCATCTGAAAGGACAAAAAAGTAAAAGGCACTTTTCTAACTTTTTTTCTTTCTTTTTTCTTTACTCTCATGGTGGATGGGTGAACACAGGTGGTAAGTTGGAAACAAACATGCAGGTTTTTGCTTCATTTGATTCTCATGTGTGTCTGTTTGTTTTAATAAATGTTATTTCTGACTCCTCTGACAGTTTCTGGTGGAATTGTTCAGCCTAGTGGTAAGTAGTTCACATTAATCCTGTATATCCTTGTTAACAGGGAAAGTATGCTTACTGTGCTTATCTAAACATTATTATACTTTTTCTTTTTCTTTTTCTTTTTTTTACTTTACAGCTGGCACAGGTGTTGGTAAATATGTCAAAATCCTCTCATATTGAAATATACCGAAAATACTCAGAGGTTCATGATTTGGGCTTCATTCAAACATTAAACGTGACAAAACTTTTACTTTTGTGTTTCCCGTGTGACAGTTGGAACGGGAGTTGATGCTCCCGCTGGTGGTAAGAACAGTTTTTCTTTTTCCTTTCTATACGTATTCAACATGTGCCATTAAGCCACTTATTTCAATGGATCTTTTAACAAAAGCTTGTAGCTTCTGTTAATCTGTAAAGTCTATGACAGGGGTGTCAAACACAAGGCCAGGGGGCCAGAATTGGCCGAATCCGGCCAACTGGACAGCTTTAGAGGAGGGCATCAATTTTGTTCTTTTAACTGTATTTTCAGTTGAAACATTGTGGTTTATACGTAAGGGACAGTTTGGACAATGAGCTACCAGAACTTTCTTTGTAATCTCCTTACAGTGTCACACTGTCAGATTTATTTCATTTACTACAACAGCATTTGTTTATATTATAACAATATTTATTTCTTATCTCTGGGATTAAATATGCACTTAAACTTCTTTACACTAACAGCATGAGCTTTATGTAGCCCTTAAAGTGAAATGAGTTTGGCATACCGGCCCTGTTACATTTATTATTACTGAAATTACATTACTTGTCATTTTGACATATTTTAATGAATGTAACCATTGCCTGTGTTTCTAGTTGACACTTCACGCCAAGTTCAACCTGGTAAGTTTATATTTTTTAATCAAAATTGAGCAAAATGTACTGATTAATTTGTAATTTAGAAATAAGAAAGAAAAAAAGGAAAATAAGAGTTAAGTTTCACCCTATCACGCCTCACTCACTGGCCACAAAAAGGTGTTTTAACATTCCTCAGAGATTTTCGTCCATATTTACGTGATGGCATCACACATTTGCTACAGATTTGTTGACTGTACATGGATGATGGAAATCTCTCGTTACATCACATCCCAAAAATGGTCTATTCGATTGTGTACAGAGAACTCAAGAGAAAAATGACAGGAGGCCAAGCTGAAGATGTTGACTTTGGAGACAAAGTTAGAGAAGCGAGGCTGAGATGGCTTCGACAGTGAATATGTTGGACAAAGAATGTATAAAAAAAAAAAAATGGAGCTGCCCAGATAGAGGAAAAGAGGAGAGCAAAAATTATAGATATAGTGAATGAAGACATGCAGAGGGTTGGTGTGACTGTGGAGGATGCTAAGAACAGGGTGAGATGGAGGCAGATGATCCACTGTGGCCTAAAGGGACTGCACAGATGTACCTAATGAAGTGGCCAGTGAGTGTAATTCTACCCATTCTTGTGACTGTAATAGTTAAAGGAACTAAACACGATATGCTAAATTAAATTAAATGTATTAAAAATGTCAGAATAGTTAAGGATTTTAAATTAACGGATCAAACTGTTGTTTTCTAACTGGTTTTAATAGGTTTTCCTTTTTTACCTTTCTTTTTTTCATCACACATGTTGGGCAGTTTATTATTCTATCTGTTATTTTAACTGGAGTTCAACAACAAGTCAGGCGCGCCGTGTTGTTTTAATCCCTCAGTCTCCTGTATGTTTTCTAACTTAAAATTCATGAAAGTATGCTGGATCCATCTGGCCACATGGTGGAGACCAATACAAACATACCCGCTATCGGGCTTTTTCTCTTTGACTGTAAAAGTAAAAGGCGCGGCTGTTTTCAGGTCCTGGTGTTGGAACAGTTGGAAAAGCACCCAAGCCATTTATACCAGGTAAAGAGGAACTAGATATTTTAACTATCACTCATTTGTACGATAAAGCATAAGATATTGTCTCTGATTCTCTTCCATGTGATCTGTTAATGTTTTCCTCACTCCTTCGCCACAAAATACTAGATGTGCATTTAAGGAGTTCAACTGAATATTGTCTGAATTTAGTACATAATATTTTAGCCATCTGTAGCTTACACCAAGCCTAGATGTTTATATCTGGATTTATACAGTTTGTAAATGAATTTGTATTTAAAAGTTTCTAATTATTAGAGTTGTGCATTATGCATATGATCAGTATGGCACAGTTAAAAGACTAAATTGTGACATATCACAGATTAATTTCAGCACTACTGTCATGTTTGCTGCTGCTGCTCATTACTTACGCAAACACACAGACAGCATCTTACCCTGTCATTTTAGTCTCAATCCAAATATTGATTAATTTGTTTTTATAATCACATCCACTGTCAAGCTACACATGATCCATCCTTCTTAACGTGCACTCTCTGTGCAGACAGTTAACGATTCTTCAGCCTGGATCAATGAAACCAACAAAAAGCTGCATCAGGCCAATTATACCTGCAACAGACTGAATAGTCATCAGTTTTGTGCATCTGCTCGTTTGCACTTTTAGGGCATTTTACCTATTGTGCACTTTTTTTCAAGCTTTGATGTAATTCTTTTGAATAGAATTGTAAAACTGAGAAATTTTGTTGGTAACAGGAGACTCTCCTGATAGATAATTAAAAATAAAAACAAAGAAACATTTTTTACTAACATTAAAACACACAATATGACAAAAAATTAAACGTTAAAATATTATAAACTCTCAAGATAAAGTATTTGTTACCTTTACAGTTTTTTAATTAATGTAAAGGATCATCAATAACAGTGTGATACCGAGTAGAATCTGTTATTATTTTTGTTGACTGTTGATTTTGTTTCTCACTTTTGTCTGATGCCTATCGAGTAAATCTCAGTTTTTCCCAGTATTAACATGGCAGGGATTTGAAATTCTACGTTATAACATGAAGTCTACTGTTTGACGTTTACTCGTTTGTGCACTCAGGGTAAATGTTATGCCCAAACTGTTGATTTAACTAATTTAATAAATGTAAATTTTCTATGTAATTTTGTTACATAAGTACGTATACATTCAGTTTCTACAGAGTACATTTTATTTAATGATTAATCACTTGAATAAATAAACCTTTGATTTTTGGGGTCTTCTATTTTTACTCCCTAGGTACTGGCTATCCTTATGGAGCACCTTATGGAGGCAAGTTTCCTGTTTAAGTTTATTGTGTTTTGGCTCTCATAGATTTTGTTTAAAGAGCAGTGAGGTATATTTCTACTCTTTTTTTTGTGCTTTAGTACCTTTAGGCACTGGACCCGGAACTGGGCCTGGAACTGGGCCTGGAACTGGGCCTGGAACTGGAACACTGCCTGGAGCAAAGCCTCTGAAACCTCCAGGTACTCGAATCCATTTCTACTTTCACCTTCAAGCAACCAAACCGTTTTAGTAACTTAAACTTTTTTAAATATACTATAAGACTAAAGCTGGTGCAAAAATCTTGCCTATAATCTTTTCTTTATCTATGAGAGACACTCTAATGTCTTATAATTATGGTGTAATGATTTTTATGCAAAACACAAAGTGGAAAGACACTGGATGAACAAAACCGTTGTATGGTACGACATACAGAACACAATAAAAAACACTTAAAAATGTAAATTCTGAATGAATGCATGTACAATATGTTTCATTTTAACACAAAGTGTAGTCATAGCCAAAGTGTGTTTCATTGTTTGGTACTTGATAACAAATTCAAATTAAACAATATTTAGAGTACTGAAATATATGAAAGTTTCGACTGTCAGAATTGAAGAACTAATAATGGAATAATTAGATAAATACAGAGCGTGATAACTGCTATCATGTTTGTGTTTTTGCAGAAGCTTGTGCACATGCAGTCTCAGCATTGTTGTGTTTTGTGTTTGTAGCTGTGGGTGGTGTTGGAGAGAGACCAGGAATCCCACTGGCTGCAGGAGGTTATCAAGGTCAGTGAGCCCTAAGAAAATGTACTTGCAGGAAGCTAAATTATTATAACGTATTAGTAATTTTTAATCAGGAAATAAGAGTGCATCCTGCTTTTTAGCAGGACTTGTTGAAATCAGGGAACATCGTATTATCATTAGACCCTTTTTGTAATTCCTTCACTGAGCATAACGCCTTCTCGAACTGTAGGAGATGAGTTATCTATTAGATGTCACCATGATTCAGGGGGATACACTCTGCTTGGACAAGGTATATATAAAACGAGGCGAGCCCGTCAGCATTGATGCCTAATGTTTCCCTAACTTTAAAAAACAACAACAAAATCATCCAGTCCAGTGCACAAAGTGACAGTTGGTGAAGAGATGTGATCTCATGGCACTTCCTTTGCAGGAAATTGGCCAAAATGCTGATAAGTTGCTGTGCAGGGTGCAGCGTATCAGGAATGAGAAACCACTTTAAGGAAGGAAAACAACTGGGGGCATTATTCAAAGAGTTTCTCATTCTTTATGTGGCTCTCAGTCCTAAGCAGGATGGCTATAGTAATAGATTAAAATGTCATTGCATGTAAGCCATTTTTTCGCTGTGTGACAGGTGGAGTTGCGTATCCTGGAGCTGCAGCTAAAGCGCCAAAACCAGGTAATGTAACAGGCCCGGTACTGCTGCCGCACATGAAAGCACAATGTAAACATGGGAAATGTGCTGTGAATGTGTTTTCCTATAGCTTGTGGCCACTGTGTACTTTATGTTGAAAACACAGTTTCCCAGAAACAGTGTTTGGGAAACGTCCACCTCACTTCCTCTTCAAATTAAGCCTCAAAAATTCAGTACTGGATCTTTTAAAATAGGTTTTGTTTTTTAGCGAGTTGCTATCAAACCAAAATCACTAGATTTACTCAGATTACGTGTATCAAAAAGACACTTTGTAGACATTTACAGTACCATATTCTCTCTCTTTAGCAGAGTTTGTTTACCAGTGAGAAATGTGGCCTGAAATAAAGTGATTCAGCCATTTTTTTTTTAACTCCAGCTTCTGCAAAGGCAAGCTCCACCAAGGGCAGTAATCCCTGCAGTATTTCTGTTCCGTTAGGAGTCTGTAAATGGAGCAAGTCAACAACACATCATTTTGCCCTGGAGACCATATTACTGTGCAGAACATCACTGTTGGATTGTTTGAAGATAACACAACCCCCCTGGGGAATCCTGCCCTGAAATAGCAAAATTCTGCCAGGGGAAATTTGGATGAGGACGTTAATGTGACGTTAGCTGAGCCACTGGCCACATGCCAGTTTAAGGCCTGAAGCAATAATGCTGGAGTAATACACACAGAAAAAAACTACAATCCATAGAAATATGAAACTTAGAAAGTTGGATTTGCTTTATATCAGAAGAAAATAAACATTTGAATTGTTTCTTTATTGTCTTTTAATTTGAGCAGGCTACGGCAATATTGGAGGTGGTGGTGGATACCAACAAGGTGAGGACCACAGTGACATTTTTACCACTCAGTCACTCTCCTTTTTATTCTTAAGCAGTTTAAGATGATGCATATTTCTGTTCAGAGGCCCACAGCCATATTTACATTTGCACAGCTTTTAGACCTGCCTCTTCTCCTCTTCCTCTGCCCACCCATGATGGATCATTGCAATCACACAGCAGCAGCCGACAGTGCCGCCTGCTCTCACTTCCCCACAGATACTGCCCGGCTACAGCTAGTCATAAAAACGGTCTGCCCTAATCCATCTCCCAGTGAACACAGACACATCCGTCTGTGTGAAATGTTACTGCAGATGGTTTAATACCTTTCATTTTTGCAGCACAGTTTTTCCATCAGGGAGGTTTGCCAAACTGAGAGATCCGTAATTATGAAAATCAGGTCAAGTTGTCATATTCAGAGTAATGCTGGGTTGTTTAATCATAACTTACTTGTAAAACATTTAGTGCAAATCAATTTACTGCCAACACAAATAGATTCTATACATGAATCCAATTCATATCGTGTGATATATTTTCTGTCTGTAGGCCTGTGAGGCCTCCATTAAAAATGTTTTTTCAAATTTCAAATGTAGTTCCTGGTTACAGAGGAGGATACCCCCAGCAGTACTACCAAGGTAAAACAACTACTTCCTTTATGCACATTTTGATTAAAGTATATTGATGAATTCACAGCACACATTATGTTACATACTACCTGCTACCTGTTGTTGGTGATAAACACTTCTGTGTAGTGACCTTTTAAGGGCGCAGGTTGTGCCATAAATCAGTGTTGACAAATGAGAAAATAGAGCCATTTATCTTTAGAAGGTGGGATCAAAGGCAGAGAACAGTGGTAGGATGTTTTAAGAGTGTGTGGCTGTATCGGAGGTGGACTTTCACGCAAGAATAAGAACTCCAAAAAAAGAGGCTCTAACACTACTTTTCAGTAAAGCAGACTGAAGTATACTCATGAGCTACTTTATTAGATGTACCTTGCTAGTACCAAGTAGGTCCAATTTTACCTTCAGAACGGCCTTAATTGCTTGTTGCATAGATTTATCATTCATTCATCAGCTGTATTGTCACAGCAGACAATCTTTCCAGCCTTCTGTTGTTCAAGAAAAAAGAAAAAAAGATGCAAATCTCGGTTGTAACAAGTGGTTATTTGAGTAACTGTTGCTTTTCTGTTGAATCATGTGGTGATTCTCCTCTGACATCAGCAAGGCATTTTCAGCCAGACAACAGCAACCTGCTGGATATTTTCTCTTTTTCAGCCCATTCTCAGTAAACCCTAGACATGGTTGTTGGGGACAATCCCAGTAGCTCAGCAGTTTCTGAAATACTCTGACCAGCCAGTCTCACAACAAAGTCACTTAAATCAAATCGTCTTCTTTCATCATTCTGATAAGCAGTTTGAAATTCAGCATGCCGTCTTGACCCTTGGCTGATTAGATATTTGCATCAACAAGCAGTTGAATAGGTGTACCTAATGAAAAACTGTAATTCACAGTACATTCATAGCACTGATAAGTGCATTGGTAAAATAAACCTACCTCCACCGAGCGGAGGATTTGGCGCATGGATGATTGTTTAACTGTTTGTCCTTGTTTCTGGATCAGGAGCTGGATTAATGTTGAGAGGCTATTACCCAGGTAACAGGCAGACAGGAAACTGCCTCCACTTTAGAGCTTAAAGAAAAGGAGAGGGGAGCAACAGAAGGTTTCACTTTCTTGCAACAATATTCACATGCCGTAAATGATTCGGAAACCACATTAGGAAAAATATTACCTGATTACCTCATCTGTATTTATTCTTCCCTCTCCTTTCCTTTATGTCGGCCACTTTCACGTAAACGCAGCTCCAGCTTCTGCACAGTTTCCATGTTATGCTTATCATGATCTCTTACTCGTTAAGCTACAGTAGAGATATCTACTGTGTCCTCTTATCCAACTTTAAAAAAACATATTAAACTTTAAATATCTGGAATGTTTTAGTTTAATTTGAATTTGATTAATTATTCATAAATATTTTGACTATCCTAAACACTGAAGGTTTTTTTTTTTTAAACCAAAAGGATTTGTGAACTTTTCCATTTTAAGTTTAAAATAATTAAACATGTTAACGCACATTTATCTGACATTTCTTCAGTTTAAGCAGACAAACCTTATGCACCTCTATCCACAAGATTAAATGTCGGTATTTTAAATACAAAACACAGATAGGAGAAGACTATTGTCTGCATAAAATCTGGTCACTTGTCCGCACTGAAAATGTGTCTGGAACAAACAGCTCAGCTCTACATTTAAGTGCCTCCTGTGCGATCCTCTATAATGTCAACAGTTTAATTCTAACCACATCCTGGCTGAGAGAAATGAATCCACCTGTGTGACAGACCCAAAGTGGTTTCATCCTAACATTGCTCTGCTGACACCTACTCTTGTATTTGTCTTTCCTGTTGTGTAGGATATGTGCCGGCCCCGCTGACTCCTCAACAAGGTACCAAAACTCCATGTCCTCTCATTACATTACTTCACACATGCAAAAAGAAAACATCATTTTTTTGCACATTATAAAGGCATTGTTTCAGTGAGCGACTGTTCCCTGAAGCTCTGCTCATTTTCCAGTTCATCTCTCATTAAATCTACTTTTTGGCAGAGCACGCCAACATGCCAGATTAGCGAGATGAGTTTGGAAAATGGGTGTGTGCTGGTGAGTGCAGATGGTGTAGCTCAGCCCGTATGATGAACACACCATAATCTGTATCTCCCTGAACTAAATTACTCCTGTGAGTGGGATAATTTCATAGAAAGCGCATGCTATTTTAGAGGCTATAATATCACTCGTTGGATCACTCAAAGTACCTGACATACAGCTTTCAAGGGCTTTCAAGTCTCTGAATGAATGCCTTCTTAGTAGAGCAGACAACATGGTGCAGTCAGCATTTGTGTTTGGCAGCAACATATAAGGTGGTGATAGAGATGTCATTAATCACAAGATGAGGCGTCAAATGCAGAGGCGTAAACAAAAAGTGAACCTTAATTCAATCTGATTTCAAAGTCTGATAGATGATGGAAACAAAAAAGGGACACAAAGAGGATAACAGATGCTGAGACAAAACTGAAGGGGAGACAACCCTACACATGAGAGTAACTAGGAGAAGCGGATGACAAGATGCAGGTGAAGATAATCAAAGACAGGTATCTATCAAAATAAAACAGGAAGGAAGAATTGTAACTAAAGGGGGGAACACAGACATGTGAATGATCTTAACATATGGGATCAACACAGTAAGAAGAAGATAAGATAGGAAACAACTAAAACTTTAATTAAGAATAATGTTAATGTTTCTATGGTGAACGTAATTAAATCATGTAGCATCTGCATGAAATTCAGCAACTTAATTTGTATCATGTCATCTCAACAAGATCAATCTAGTAAGAGTGGTTCGTTGCCTGGACTCACAAAATTCACAAAATCACATTAAATGTCAAACTGCAGGAAAATCGCTGGAGTTTTAAGAGGCAGACAACTGCACCCACACCACGTGTATGCTATCGCTATTTATTCTGGTTTAACCTGTCAAGGAAAAAAACGTACAGAAAATTCTGCATCAAGCCTTGTAATCATAGTTTTCCTAGTTTTGTTAAGCCTGGCTTGACAGCTTGGTGGCATGATGATGGTTAGTGCTGTTGCCTCACAGCAAGAAGGGCCTGGGTTCAAATCCACAATCTGGCTGGTTTGCAGTGTGTAATTAGAGTTAGGTTAATGGGTAATTCTAAATTACCCATGAATGTAAGTACAAATGGTTGTATGTCTCTATGAAATCATCAACCCTCATATTGGTTCATTAAGCAAGACTAGCAGTTATTGCCTTGATTAACAAAGTAGTCATTCAGATTTCATTGTGTTTTCCAAGTTTTTAACTTGTGTAGAATGAATTAAAACAAATTTCACTTTACATACTTCAATAAATCACTTCAAGTCAATGTAAGTATACTACATTGATTCAACGTAATCTGATTACATTAAACCACCAAATACCAAATGTCTTGGTTTGACATGGTCAAAAATGGGTTATTGTACTTATTGTTATTGAAAAAGGTGCCATGATTAAATTGTATTCATCCAACAACAGATTTTTTTGAGTGCAGGCAGACTCATCCCCACCTTTGATTAGCCCGATCGAGGTAGTGTCATCTGCTAATTTCATAAGGTTAACTGACTGGAGGTGGAGCTGTTGGTATGCAGGAATAAAATGAGGGGAGAAAGTACGTAGCCTGTAGGGGAACTGGTGCTGGTGGTCTGAGACATGCATGCATTTTCATGTCATACCATTACATGACCAGTGAGGGTTTTCACATCCTTCCTTGGGCTGGTTTATAGTGGAGCAGTCCCACAATGATGTGACAAAATGATCTTTGCTAAAGTACTTGTAAAATCAGTGTGCCTTTTAGCAGCCATCCTAAAAAGTATTTCACAGTCACCAGGACTCAAAAACTTTATATGTAGAAGTTTATTATAAATATTATTCATCTCATCTTGGTGGTGTTGATTAGATTAAGATAAAGTTCTTGTCCAGTATATCAGCAGCTGTCTGTCATATATCACCTACCTTATTAATATAACTTGCTGAGCCGGGCTGCGGTGCAAACTTCACTAGTAAATCCATCTACAGTTTAATTTCCAGCACCTGTGTTTGGAGGCAAGTGTCTCCTGCTTTAAAGGGCATCCTTACAGGGAAACGTGAACTTATCAAATGTGAACTTTGATAAGACATGCTGAAAAAGACAAGTTCTTAAACATTTATGCACTAGAAGAATATTTTGTTGAAAGCAAATGAATCATATTGTGTTCTTTTTTTTTCTTTTTCTTTTTAAAGTACCAAATTTTACACACATAAAGTTTTTCCTTGTAGAAATAGAAACAAAAACCACAAAAAAGCCAAGAGAACAGTTGAATATTCAAATATATGCGTGGAAAATAGAGGGACAGATCTGCCCAATGTCCAGTCGGGTAATCTTCTGGCAAACATTAAGGCCAGTACCCTCAGATTGGAAACATAATAACCAATATTGTTTTGTTGTTTTGCAGCCAAAGCAGCAAAGTACGGTGCTCTGCAGGGCTTCTTTGGTGGTGCAGGTGGAGGAGGAGGCGGAGGATTCTATAGAGGTAAAAGACTTGTGCACATTGTTGAAGAAGCATCCTGAAAAACAGAAGTTGCTGCAAAGGCTAAAATGTTGCCGGTGTTTGCTGTAGGTGGCGTTGCAGGATGCCAGGGCAAATACTGTGGGAGGAGGAAGTAGAGGATCTCTCGAGATCCAGTGACCTCAAGAAACCATGGTGCTACTGCATGATCGAGAATGTACATTTTATATGCAAAGCCCCATTAGACAACCTGTAAAGATGTTTGTTTTTACTTACTTGACTTCAGTGTCTGTTTTTACACAAACCCACCGACCCAGAATTTTGTACATGTGATGTATGTTATTGACAGTGCCTTTAATCATTAACGTGTTCAAGTTAACCAAGTTAATTCTGTACCGCACCGGCCCACCATGTGCCGCTGCGTCCGTGCACGCACGCCTGCACGTGTGTGTATCGTTTGTTTGAAACTCTGTCTGTACCATCGGCTGTCAATGTCACCCACAAGTGATTTCCCTTTCTGCTTTAATCCTAAACTAAATCAAGGTGATCCGTCTCACTGGGCAGCACAGGGCTCGTCTGCTCGTCTCCAACCTGTCACAGGGGTGGGGTTGGTCATAGCTAGGCCGAAATCTGATGATATCCAGCCAATGTCAGAGCGGTTCCTGGCTCCCCATTTCCTCTGCTGCCATTTTTAGGCCTGCTGGGTATAAAGCGGTGGTAACTGGGGCTCCAGCCAACCCATCTGCTCTCACCAACTTTGCTGATTCTTGTTGCTGTGCAGTTCAGTTTTCTCAGCTTTTTTTGTGTTAAATGTTGCCAAACACTTTCTGCTGAAGACAGTCAAAAAGCAGTGGGTTTAAATATCAATCAGACACTGCTTTGGTATGTACGCGACGTGTATGTGCGTGTGTGTTTCATTATGTGTCGTGTTTAAGTCTGCTTCAAATGTTTAGTCTCATTTACATTTATGTAACTGGTCATTATTCAAGATTTGTTGCACCATGATTTGACTCATAGCTTTTTTGTTATCAGGAATGTGTGATCATTAAAAAAAAACAATCCTTTGCTTTTGCATTTATTCACTGTTATTAACTGTAATACAGATTAATACTTTGTTTTAATGGGAATGCCGCTGTGTTTATGTGAGGCACAAAATCCCTGTTCTTTATTTACTTGAGCTGCTTTAAAAAAACCAAAACCAAAGGCTTTACTGACCAAAGGTTCATGAGCGCTGTTGCCAAGTGACCCCCATCTCTTCCCGTAACTGTGTACTGTATTTTGTACTAATTTGATGGCTTCAGTTCCTTCACTCGGTGCTGTGTAAGAACTGTCTTTGAGCCTCGCTGGGTCAGACCTTGTCTTATGTGGCGTGGGATACTCTTCATCTTTATTTAAAACTGTTTTTATAAGGAGGAACAGTGTGGTTTTGCACTTTTTATGTTTCCACGGCACACATGTGACTTGTTCCCGGACATCCCGGCATTTTATTTGCTTTAACAAATAACAAAATAAAATGTGTTTAAAGAACACGCGTCTTCTTATTCATTACTTCTTCCTGCCCGTCCTGAGGGCTGATCAAAATCACCCGGCGGGGAGTGTCGAATCAGTCCAACGCTGGAAAATAACCTGGGTTCAAGTCCTGCCTGTTTTAGAGCTTTTTTCATATGAGTTTTGTTATTGTTCCACTAGGAAAAATGAATCACTTATCAGATTTATTGTATGTGAAGGATTTCTTCTCTATAATGAAAACAAACCTCAGGTTAGATGCGAACACTTTGCCAGAGTATGGCGACTATGAGCTGTGTTCTTATTGTGCCAGCTGGAAGTAATGAACTCATACTGCTGTTCCCTGAAGATCTCCTGGGAGAGCCACTGACCCGTGAGCCACATCCTGTAAAAGTAGCTTACACTGTTGTTCCAGGAGCAGAGGCTTTACTGCAGACATAAAACAATGTCACTGTGAAACTCTAGTCGAATTCTGTTTTTCTACAGCTGGCAATTACACATTTCTGTAAATCTGTTTGCTTGATTTCCCTAGTGTTAGTTAGCTTGCTTAATTTCTAACAGGAAATAATGTGTTTGTGTTACTTTAGCCAACATGTAATCGGTGTAGGCAAACCCTTTGTACATACGTGTACTAAATCAGTTACCTGGCGACCTGCCGCTGGGACAAACAGATCAAACCTCTGGCCCTGGCTTAGCTATCCCACTCCCATCTCCCCATACCAACACTCCTGACGCTGAACCAGCGCCACTGATTCTTGAAGAAAAATGTGTCTAATTGCAGGAAGCCCCTTGGGAAATACATATATTTAGTAATAATAATAATGATAAATTATTATTATAACCCACATAAACTGAGAATTTTTGCATTGCTCTGTGTATATTTTGCACACTGCCAGCTGCAGGTAGCTTTAAGAAGCGTTAAGTTCATCATGTCTAAGCAATGAGGATTTTTAAGCAAAAATATTTCAACTTGGTGTCCACTAATGCTATACTCACACATGAGAAAACAGTGTTTGGAGACTGCAGCACAAGCAAGATTACTGTGATTTGTGTGCTTTGAAGACGGAGACCGGGTATGCAACCACCTGCAGTGAGCTGCCGTCCTCGTTACCATTTTATTGCTGTCTTTAGTGCGATAAGACTGAATCAGTCTGCTATAAATCTGCTGGCAATTACATGTTAATACTACAAACCTGTTGCCGTCTACATTTACATAAGTCATCCAGTTGAAGTGAGTCCCTTACTGCAAAGAGACGTGTTACAGAGGCGTTGAGGTCATCCAGACTCACTCAGAGTTACAAACAAAAAAAAAAAAAAAAGGGGGGGGTCCATCCTCACCACCACGTGGAGCAGGTGCAGAGCCGAAAATATGTAAACATAGAAAATAATTAACACACACTGCAGAGCTCCAGCTTCCTTATTTATTGCATCTAGTAGTGTGTGACGTTTTGACTACGTCTGCTTTTCTTCAGATAATGACACGTAGGACGGCACCATCTTAAATCGTATGTGATAGATCACATGACCATGACCAATGGCAATAATATCCAATCAGAACCATGTCTTATATAGGTCTCACTCAGATTTATTCCAATATGTTGATAGTCTGTCTGCATTTGAATTTGAGTTTGCCATTTTATGTCCACTCTAGTGTCACGTGGTAGACCGGTATCACCTGCACCTCAACTCGCCTCCGTATTTGTTGTGTGAAATTGGCACTAATTTCTGTGCGTTTCAGAATTGCTGTGAGACATTGGTTGATTGGGATCTTTTAACTGAAGCTAGTTATATTTGATTGCTCTTACACTCTGGTCCTTTGATATTTCACACTACAAACGCTGCTGTTTCACTTGTGGCTCTTTGTGCAGGTATGTTAAAAAATCCCAGACTTAAGAAGGTTTGAATTAAAAATATTTTTTATGTTTGCATTCTGCTGTGGTTCTGTGTTTTGCACAATTAAAATTCAGAGAGGATTCGGTGATATAATCATGCTGTACACACAGAATCCGTGTGTTACACTGAACCATAAAGGAAAATAGACGTGTTGACTGCGTTGCATTTAAGCAATGACTAAAATCAGTAATTACCATTTTGTAATTTCTGAATTGTGCGCTCAGGCTTCCGTTTTGTGTCTGCTTTACACTTCCTTGCAGAGCTAACTGATTTTATGGCTCCTAAATTAAGCCCCAGTTAATCTCATGAACTGCAAATATCACGATTTAGACATCAAATAAAACCTCAATTTTTATACTGCTGACTACACTGCAGCTGCTTTCAGATTTGCCTTCATGGGTTTCAAACCAGCCAACCACTTCATTTTATTTCCCTTCGTTCCAGCTTCTTTTTATGTTGCACCCTTTGCTTACACTTTGTTTGCACTTCGATGAGACACTTAACAGCTACTTCCAGCACCTCCACCTATCCCATATCTCAACCCCTTTCGCCACTATCATGCATCAACGCGTTAATATTTTTACCTGCCTTTCTACAAGAGCGCACTCTGTCTACTTGTAGTTATCTTGTAGTTACTATGGTGGCGTTTCTGCGCCGCCTCCCCCCACCTACCCCTCTCCCCTCCGTCCCTCCTCCTCCAGACTTTATTAAGCAGGGCGTGTTTGTGGTTGGCCAGCCCCCTGTTTCCTCCGCACTGCTCGGCAGCTTCATTGGTCAGCGCCTCTCTTGAATGAAGCGCCGCAGAAACGTGCAGGCAGCGGGCAGAAGGAAGCTGTGTGGGCCGCCGCAGGGAGCGACCGACGCGCAGCGACACGACCCCCGGGCGCGTTGCGGTGTGTGTCGGTGAACACCGTTTATCCGTCGAGCAGAGGCAGTTGGCTCTCTCCCGGAGCTCCGCGTGTGAATGAGGTTGATGCTGCTCTGTTGCACCTGGAAGGACGAACGCATGGGAGAGGAGGAAGGTAAGGACCTGCGTGCTGGTTACGCGCTTCGGCTTTTGGGGTGGGCGATGCGGAGACCACGGCGCACTCCCTGCTCTTCGAAACGCAGAAGATGCTCCAACAGAAAAAAAAGCTGCACACTGCACCGTTTCTGTGTTTACTGTACCGAAATAGGTTCGTGTGCAGGGAGCGCCAGGCTGTGCCGCAGATGAAGCCATTCTTCGAGTGGATGCGGCCAGCATGTTTGTATGCAACGTTCACCCTCAGGCCACCACCACACTCTTCATCTGCCGCCAGCCTTCTCCAATAATCCAGCATGCAGTGCTTATAAACAGGTTGTTACATGAGAAGTAACTGTCCTTTAAGAGCTTCCTTCATGCTGTGTGAAAACACACAGATGACAGAGTTTCCTGTTGTGCCTGCACCAAACTAAGACTCCCACAGACTCCATGATTAACTTAGGTGTGTGACCGGTGTATATTTAATCGTGTAAAGCAGCCAGATAACCTTCTGATCTCATTATTAATGAAGCTGTTTTAATTGTATGTTTTTTTAAATTCATTGTTTTCTGGATAGTGATTCAGGAAGCTATGGCTCGAACAGCTGGTAAACCACATTGTTGATCTATGTGTGTGTATTTTGGCATGTGGTGTGAGATAACTGCACACCGAGCTGTCAGTCAGCTTCACTGAGGTGAACAATGGGCGTCCAATGTAAGGTTTCACTTTGCATTGCAGTGTGGTTAGCTAATCTGGAAGTGTCTGCTTTAGGTCAGAGCGGGCGGGGCCTACGCACCTGTACCTGCACAGGTTTTACAGTTTGTGCCAGAATGTAGGTGTGTTTCTGTTTGCCTTGGCAGCTCTCTCTGAAGTCAACAGAAGGAAAGAGATCATGCAGAGAAATGCGCCACAATAAAAAATACTAAAAAAAAAAAAGATGGTAAAAAAAGTGTTTAAAGAGAGAAGGCTGGAGGAGTGAAGAAGAAACGCATTAGCACCAGACATCAGCACCCAAAGCTCTGCCAAAATGGCTTTCAGTTCACAGGATGGATGAATAATTGAAGCTGTTGTGCAGAGTTTTATCAAGACTCTTCCACCAGTATCCAGATTTCATGTTGTGGCACTTTTGAACTTAACCTTGGTCAAAATTGGGCCTCTTTATAGCTGCTTTGTATGTGGAGAAGTACTCTTGTTACTTCTTGTTGAAATGCCATGATGAAGAGGTGCTACGCTCGGCTGTTACTCTGAGGTGACAGTCGTGATGTTACTCTTGGGTGTACTGCAAGTTCAGGAGCTCAGCAATGAGAGTAATGCGGGGGAACCTGAAGCAGTAGCATCTGTGCAGTTTTATTCTTTACAAATCAAAACAGCATCCCCACGGATGGAATGCTTTCAACTGGCTGCCATGTTTGTGTTTGCTGTTACTCACTGAGTCTTGCCGTGTGGCTTTTTTTTAGGCAAATTAACTCAGGCAACAAATGCATCTAACACAGCATAACGTTGGCCGCCGCCTCGCCTTTTGCACCAGATGAACCCTTACTGCAGGATAAATAGTCCCAACTCTGCCAAATTGCTTTTTTCCTGAAACTCTAATCATAATGAAGATTTTCCTAAGCGTTGGAATCTTTGATCTGCAGCTAATAAGATTCCTCTCATGGAAACGACTCTTATCAGGAAAGAAGTAGAAGAAAGCCGATGTCTGGTTTAAATTCTGTTTAATTTACTTTTCTTTTCTGCGTTAGTTTGCATTTTGTAAGGAAAATATAAAATGTTATTAGCAGGCATGTTATTAGCCTGCTAATAACTATGTTATTAACTATGTTATTAGCAGTTTTGATGATAGCTACATTATTTTAAAACCGTACACCTACCTGCCATCATTTTATGCATCATCTCAGTTTCTCTTTAGTTTCTTTGTGTCGTTTCCTGCTTTTACAACACGCACCCACGCCTCCACACTCATGATGCGTTAAATTTGAAGTCGAAAGTAGGAATTTCTGAGTTTCCAGTTGGGAATTTTCATCTGGAATGGCCCCCCTTAATCTGAAGTTCCGAGGCAAATACAATGCAGCATCATCATCACCCTGATTTCTACACTCGATTAGTTTTGGACTTGTTAGCCAAGCTTGC